AATAACCCATCCAAGGAAAACAAAGGAGAACCAGTTCGAATACAGTGAGAAGGAAAAAACATCTAAATGAGTGAAATATCTGTTACGGGGTATACTGAAAACATTGACTTCCTTCCCATATTCAAGCTGATTGTTTGCTGTGCATTTTACTCATGATTTTCTAGTGAAAAATGTGTATCATTAGCGTCTGCAGGCATCTATTCGTTCGTTCGCTTTTGTTGTAAGAAGTGCATGTTAAAACCGACTGATGCACTCGTCATGACCATTGTTGGTCGGACTAAGTTCAGCAAGTGATGCTATGACGTGATTCATAAGCCATACCATTTTTCAATTTAAGATACCCGAGTATCAATTTAATGTCATGTTGCTATGTGGATAGTAAGATAGTCCGATTACTCCATCGTTTCATATTGTCTTGAACCTTTTTTGATGACCTTGTTATCATGTATGGTGAAGGTACGCCTGCTGTTCAGCCGAATTTCACTTGGCCTGTTAAAGACTCGCGGTTGTAGACAAGGTGTGGTTTCTCACTCGGGTTATAGGTGGGCAAGCACCAGGTCTCTTGTTGCGGTGACCAATCCGATTGATCGATAAATGAGCCCGATCGGTCGTGTGATTTTCGGGCCGGTATAGGAGGAGGATACGTTCTGAATCGGATGCTGCTTAAGTGTCGGTAGAGAATCACCACAGGAGAATCAATTGTGGAACGATGCGTCATGTGGGAGATTCGGAATGAAAAAGTTCAAGCGATGATGACACTGGGCCAATCTTTAACTCGTCTAAGACACACGCACTATTTTTAAACGGGTTCTCGCGCAAATTTTCCGGCAGGCGTGAGACGGGAGTTTACTGTTCAGTCAGCCGAAGGCCAAAGACGCCAACCTACAGGAATTACGGCAACTCTGAAGCAATTAACGATTCATAACCTAAAAGTGCATCTCACAAATTGGCCTTAGACCCGGGTTACGATGATCTTTGGCGAGTGACCTGTGTAATTTCATCGGTGCTCCAGGACAAGTGAGAGTACCGTTCATTCGTTCACACGGGCGCGTCCGCGCGACGGTGTTTATTGATCGCTCGGATCTGACATCTCACTCTACTCACCCGCTTACCAGTCAATCGCGATTATCGTTCACCTGTTTGCACGTTAGTGCGACAGAGCCCATCGATAGACCGAATGACCGTGGCTTAGGTAGCAAAAATGACTACATTCGAGCGCCCCACAGTTCTGTTCAGTGCTCCACAGAATTGCAAACAAAACTGAAGATTACAAAAATGTATTTTTAGCAAATTCATAAATCATCGTTTGTTTCAGTTTGGCTCTCCTTTGGAAATCAACAAACGCGCTGTTTAAATCAATTGTACACTCCAATAATCGACCCAAACTTCGAGTATTAGCCGAACAATAACTTCAGCGCCTATCTGATTGAGATAACTTCCGGCACATTCACTGCTTCACATTCATCTTCTTCTTTGCGCTGCTTAGCTTGACTGGAAACGAATTCATCTAATGACTAAAAAAGAGACTTAATATAAACATTTTAAATAATCCATTTCTTTATCATCAAATTCCAGACAGGTGATTTCTTCTTCTTAACGACGGTCATCAATATACACATGATTGAAGTCCTCGATTAAATTGCATTTATCCTCTGGTGGCTGCAACACCGACTGAATCTATGTGGATTTGAACCCATGAAAGCGTTGATCAGTACAAGCGGATGCACAAACACCGAAACTTTCTTGACCAGATGCATGGCTACGAGAATGCCCATCTCGGCTTTCATGATAATTTGATCATCTTCGATCAAAGACAAAACATATTGCAGCAAATGTTTCCGAAATGAACATTTGAAAGACCAAATCACGCCCTGATCCATTGGTTGTAACATTCAATAACAGTTCGGAGGCAGCCCTATCACTCTGAAGTTGGACAATACGGCTTGGTTATGGCAAGGGGCGTTGTCCATAAATAGTAAAATAGAGCCCCTTTGGGAAACCATTTTGCGGTTGACATCGGACAGCCAACTGTGAGACAACGTAGAAGTCATCCATAAACTCTTTGAAGAATTATAACTGCATGGAAGGCTTTTCTATCTATACGCCGAGGCATCATGGAGTTTGAAACTTACCAATCACCAACGGTGATGACTTTTCTCCATTCATGCTCGCACAAAGCAGTAACGTGACCCTCTCTTTGGATTTGTTGAACCCAGAAACTACCTTTCCTTTCAAACTTAATGTTCCTTCTGCGAGCTGCCTGCAATAAAAAGTTGTTTCATCTACATTGACAATATCACATTCAGCATATCCATGGATTAACTGCGGTAACCCCTCGCGAAACTCGTCCACTGCACCACGTGGTACCGCTAAACTTTTCCCACACATGAGTTGCTTGTTTCTTACTTTGTACGATTGAATACCATATCTGCCTGAACAAGAGTGAAAACAACCTTTGGAAGCCTTGAAGTCATTATGATGCAATCTTCATGCTAGCTGAATTGCATTCTTACGTACGATGCTCTCCTCCATGGGGAACTCTCCGTGCTTTTCGCTGACAGCAGTAAAGCAAGCAAAAGTTGCCTCATTCACTGCCTTGAACTTTTCGTTGGCTTTCAGGTGGCATCTTTCCTCAGATGCTCCAGCGTTCAAAAATTTCACGATACGATGGGATACAACACTATAGACAGAGTTTTGTGAAATTCCAAGTGATTTGGCTACGGAGCTCTGAGCTGCATCTGGCTGTTTCAGCATTTCCAATACATTCTGCTTCTCTCTGATAGATAGGCGCCTGTACATTTTGACGTCAGATGACACTGTCTCCGATCACTTGCATGGGTGTGACTTCCTCGCAAGGATTATCCAATCAGTGATCAGTGCCATGAACGCGTCATACCGGGTTCAACGCCATTGGTTGAGTGCGCCATTTCAGGGTGGATGGTCAATGGTAGTCCCGAACATCGATCAACGACTAAGTGAGTACGTATCAGGAACGTCGACGTATTGAGGGGTGAGACAGAATAGTCATAAACTACGTTATTAAGCATACGGTTGGTTTGCGTTTTCGAAAAAGTGGGAAGATATTGGAAAATGCTACTTCTCAGGGGTGCGACATAGCAGGAGATTGATTGTATGTATGTAGAACAATGACCGGGATAGTCAGTGCGTATCGATCGTCATGACTGCGTTGGAGGGACAGACACAGAACTGAATTGAACAAAAGATATCCGTAGCTCTCTTAGAAATGCACAACGAAAGGTGCACAGTAGTTCGTTGGATGGAGCGTTGAGTTATCTTCAAACTGGTACTACAATGGATGCACTGCACATTGAATAAATCACCTTTGCGCGCGTGAATAACACAGAAAGTTCGGTTTTGGCAACCGAACGGCAGAACAGTATCACACTTGATGTATATATCCAAGAGATTAGTATCACAAGACGGAGCTCACAGAAATGAGTCGAATGAGTGTCAACTGGATGTTGTACGATGAGAATTGGCAAAGAAGTCCACCAAAAGCGAGAGCGCACAAACTGATCAACCGCACAGCAGATGGGTGGGTTGAGCATAATTAGGTTTATTAACAATCACCTAAATTTAACATTTTTCTAGCAATTTGATGCAAACAGTATTTTTGTACTTGCTTTTGTTTGTCAGATATGGATGGTTTTGTTTAAGATGGTTTCACCGAAGACATGATCTCCCGTAGTGGATATCATCAACAGTCAAAAGCTTTTTTTCTCTCTCTCTCGCTGGTCAAGCACGTTTCTGCAGACAGTTTGTAGAAAAATTTACGATTATTGTACACGATAATGTGACTTGTCAGGTTGTTTGTGAAGAAGGCTTATTTTGGGAGTTCTAGCCATTACCCAAATTTGGGCATACGGATAAGGAAAAGTATTGGGACACTTGAATATTTTCATCAACCCGAATTAGCCTGTATCGTTCACCTTTCCATGCTTCTCAAAAGAACGTTACCAAGCCAATCACTCAAAGTCACATAGAGAGCAGTGTACATGAAGTTGAACTGCAGGAGCAGATTCTGTGCCGGAGAGCAACCATGGGAAAAAGACTGCTGCACAGATTTAAGTAAATCATGTAATTGTTTGTGTTTATTGGCAAATTCCTTCAGGTTCTTAAATCCAGGCACACAGTATATTTGAAATTGAATGAAAAAATGCTTTCGTTTCGCTCCAGATTTCCGTAAAAATTTCTATCTATCAATTTGAGGCTCAAACAAGTTTGCAAAAGATAGACCACAAAAGTCATTGTCTCACGGAGCTTGATGAAAGCGTCAACTGACCTCTCCTGTCCAGCAGTGTCCCACAGCTGCAGCATTGCTGATCGTCCGTCCACCTCCATAGAACGCATCTTCATATCGATACCTGTTTTAATGTAAAACAGCATCAATAAGAGATTTAGAAACATGCGACCCAATTGCTAGGTAGTTTGAGTTACCTGGCATATGAAACAGAGTGAAACTAGAGTGTATGAACATACTGCCATTTTTATGCAGTAGTGAACAGATTCCCTTTCACTGTTGGAGTTCAAACAGACGACAGAACAAGGTATAATCCACTGTGATTTTGTAGTTCATGCAATACCAAAACACAGGACATTTGGTTTATCATCCAGTAGCTTTCAAAACGCCGTTGATTCTTCTAGTACTTTACGGAGAAGTATGATATAACAGAGATTTATACACGATGTAAGCTGATTTAGGCTCAGTGAATTACTATGGTGGAACCCAACTTCCCTAGGTACGAGCACCTTCTAATTCACGCCCAACCGCAACCAAATAATTGATACTTTTAAGACATGCACAATGGGACACTTCAATGAGGCTCACACAATTTTAGAAAGATTTTGTGTTAAATTTCACTGAATCATGTTATTCTCCGTGTAAACATTCAACGCAAAAATCATTCATATTAGTTGATCAAAAAATGCAACTCATCTTTTCTTGCATTCACACAACGAATGTTGAAATCGACAATTCTTGACGGATATAGGGAGTAAATGGAAATCACTGGAAAAATCACTGGAAAAGCAGCAATGTGGTGAACGAGCTTGTTTTTATTGCTTTATGTACCGGTCAGTCAGACATTTGTGTTTCGGGTACGGATTTGGACTTAGACGCCCATCATTGCCCGATTATTTAGACCAGATTAGATTTGATTTCGCCCAACTCACTATACCAGTCAACAACATCCTCAAATAAGGCTATATGTGATCCTACATACCAAACCAAAAGTTCTCAATCGTCTTCACCAAAACATATGATCCGCCCCCCACTGTTTAAAAAAATTAATATGGAATAAAAATAATCGAGTATATCAACGGCGCTATCAGCTTCTTTGACTGAACTGTCGATTAAAGTCACAATAACGAAATCTCATAGTTGTTCAACTGAAGTGTTATTGCACGAAATTAAGCTTTCCATGGTGCGAAATCTGTGCAAATCGTAAAACAGTCCCATAGATAATGTAGAAAATGGTATTCACGAAGAAATTTCCTTTCGGTATATCGCATCAGGCGTTTACATATATGAGTTGATCATAGTACAGATGTCTGATTGGCCGATTAGAGCTCAGTTAGTAACGATGCCAGAGGGAAGCAAACAGAGCAAACGAATATGACAAGGCTGCAGCGATAGTCGTGTGTGAGGTAAGAAGACAAAGGTCAAATGAACAACGTGAGAGAGATGGGCAGATTGAAAGGAAGGTTGCGAGCGAAGACGAGAAAGCGGAATGAAGTTACGTAAAATATGGTAAAAACTATAGGTCACGCATAGCAAGTGATGTAATCAGGAAGGGACATTAGAGACAAAACAAAATAATTAGTTCTTGAAATTGAAGTTGATGATCCTGGATGAGGAAAGGGGGTTGGGGAGGGGGGGTGATGCTCTGTTTTGTGCGCAACCAATCGGCTGTCCAGGCCGCCCTGGCCTGGACAATAGAGTCTGGACCAGCTTTGTTGGCTTTCACAATTCTAGATTGAAAATGCGAATTGCAATCACCTCAGCCATGGTTAAAAGACGCCTTCTTATCCCATCGGAATATCTCCGGGGTATAGTGTGAATAATTTTGAATGCATCCAATTTGTTCACAAAATGCCCGCTATCGATGAGATAAACAAGAAACGAGCTGCGAATACATTTAACCGTTCCTTTGTACAGGGCCGCAGGACAGCGCTCAGCAATACGTTTTGATAATCACCTGATCGTATGTCCAGTGTATCGCACACTACAAGTGCACGTGAAAAAACATGAAACGAAGGATTTGGACCGCAGAGGTAACTTATTTTCTATTTGCTGGGACATCAAGGGCCGAGTGGTAGTGAGGACATACGGTTGAGCTGCAGGTAACGTTCTAGAGATCACTTTGGACAAACGTCCTTTGAGAACTTCCAGGGCATCGTCGCCCTTAAACGGCACGGTAAGGAAAACGTTCTTGTGCGGAGCGGTTGGGCTTTTGCTCGTGTTGGTCTTCAAACGTATATGATTATCAATGAAAGCTTCCGGGTAACCATTTGACGGAAATAGGCCATGAATAAAACGTATTTCGGACTGCAGTGTATCCTTGCTGTAAATCGCACGCACTGCTTATGATAAGCATCTGACCAGGTTGCATTTCTATTTCAGGGGGACAAAGCTACAAAAATGCGTATACTGCCCTACCCATATTGTTTTGCGGAAGATGCTTCTTTGGATGGCACCGTCATCTTGCTTTGTTAATAACACATCTACGAAGGATAGCTGTTCACTCTTCTCTAATTCGCAGGTGAAACGAATAGCCGGATGACACTCATTGAATTCGTCGAGAAGCTGTGCGTGGCTGATGTGAGAATCACAAACGATAAAAGTATCGTCGAGGTATTTGTAATAAATGTCGAAATGTCGAATTATCTCTCTCAAATTTTCGTTCTCCGGTTTGGCTAGGAAAATAACCACCACTAATAGACCTAGTGGAGACCCCATGGCTACCCCTTCGATTTGTCTGTATAACCTGTCATTGTACAAATACTGTATGTTAAATGTACATCTGAGAATCAACTCTTTCAATTTGTTCACCGGAATTCCGACGTGGATGTTGCTAGAAACTAAGAAGTCTCTTATATGATCAACTGTCTCTATCAGCGGTACGTTGGTAAAGTGTTCCAAGTATTCCTCATCGAAGGAACTCATAATTTTGTTGAGAACACTGAGGTTTTCTATCTTCTCTATAAAGCTGAATCTTCATTTATTCGGTTCACCTATCTAACGTTGTTCATTTGACCTTTGTCTTCTTACCTCACACACGACTATCGCTGCAGCTTTGTCATATTCGTTTGCTCCGTTTGCTTCCCTCTGGCATCGTTACTAACTGAGCTCTAATCGGCTAATCAGACATCTGTACTATGATCAACTCATATATGTAAACGCCTGATGCGATATACCGAAAAGAAATTTCTTCGCGAATGCCGTTTTCTAAATCTGTGCAAATCAAATACACCGTGACTAAAGTGAACATATATATATATATACGTATACATGCATATACATGCAGAGTCAACGTAAACATATCATACCGATTGTGGAAACAGAAGTCCCAGTGAATACATTATCACATAACCGAATAAGAAATGAAGTTTTTCCCACATCCGAATCGCCAGCTAACATCACGCGGAATATGCGCATTTTTTCATCCATTGTACCGGTGAAACTCATTGGATACTCCGGTGTTGAAGTGCCCACAGTCACCGAAGATGGTGATTTCGTGTTGAGTGTGGTCGGTACAGCCAGTCGTCTACGGGCGACCCGTGGTGTTGACGAAGTCCTCACTAGTGAGCTGTTTGCGGAGAATGAGGAGACAGTATCCTCGGCGGGAGTTAAATTGATTCCCACGATTGCACTGTTAGCCACATCAACATGTTCAGCGTGTTTCTCGTCAGTGCGAGCAAGTTTCTGTGGAGTGAAACGTGTGATCAAACTGATTTACGGTTTAGACTCTGGGCTCTGAGTATGCAATCAAATTCAAAGATGAATATGCATCGCCAAGGCACCTCTGATAGTCCCCCCACACCAAAAAGGACTTGTGGGACACAAGATGTTAAATGATTTCGTTGTGATCGCGAATTTTCTCATTAATGCGAGACAAAGAAATAAAACTTAATAGTAGCTATACTGATTACCAAGGTAGTTTCTCTCTTTCGCGACATTTTTAGCACAATAATTCGGTGTTTTTATTGTTCAAACACTGGCATTTCTTCATGACTAATGAAATGAAAACCTTTCTGCAATTCTCGGCTCGATATAATCAGTGTACCAAGAGTATGGTCACAGATCGTCGACGTGAAAAACGAACAACTCCAATGTTGCACGTGAATCAGATACTGAAAAATTCTACCACTGATGATGCCATCATGATGGATAGTACTTTAACAAGAACAAATTTTGGTAGTAAGAGTTAATTGAATGTTCATTGAAATGGATAATATTTGGCAGTAACTTCTCCTATATAATTTACCACAACTTTCGAACAGTGAATGAGACCAACCGGTGAATCCACTTCCATCTCGGACTCGAATTCTGGCGCATCTCGAAGACTTGATAAACCGCTATCTGATTAATGAAAGTCAGGGAAACAGAAAAGGTAACGTATGCACGTTGTATTGACATTCAAGCACACTCAGAAGTCATACAGAATTTCGATGAAATGTCATTTTTATGTTTCACAGCTATATGTGTACGAACTCAAAATATCTGGTTCGAATCTGGTCACACGAGTCTCCCCAATCGACTGATCTTCCTGAAAGTCATTCGTCACAAAAAGACAGGAAATGCGGGTTGAGAAGAAATCGTGATTTAACTGATGCAGGAAGCCGGTTGCCTATATAGCTAACCGGATTACTTATAGCACGAAGAATTTTGAAGTCAGTTGTTTTGTGCAACACTGAGGCGAATTAAAGCGAAATGTTGGGAAGCACTAATCAGCTACTTAAACATTATTGTACATCACACTGTGGGCAGCACAAATCCATCAGCCCAACTGAGACGACCCCGGAATCTCAGGAGTACAATAAAAATGTACTAACTAATTAACTGCTGAGCAAATCATTAAATTCGGATGAGAGACGAGTGGTGGGGGGAATCGGTTATTTCCGTGTTCGGGACCACGTCGGGAAATTTGACCACTGATTGGGAATACAATGAAGACGAAAATGTGATTTCGGTGAATTCATTTTCAAAACCGTGTAATCACGTTATGAAGAAACAAAATTTATTAGGGTCAAACAGGAGGGCGCTTGAGTCAGGTCTGTGTGTGTGTGCCATAATGAGTCTAAAAAACTCCAAACTGATACATTGTCTGGATTGCGCAATCGAACTCGGTTATACGGTAACGCTTGGTAACCACGCCAGTAATATGTTATAGTGAGTGCTTGTATATCACTGGACTTTTTCGGTTCATGGCGGTTTT